CCAGCCCGGCCATGATGGCAGCCCTAGTTACCCCCGACTCCCGATTATTTTGAAAGAAAATGGATTGATACCTACATAAGTATGATTCCAATTTCTTAGATTTTGGACACTTATTTAAATGCTCCATAGAAATCTTCCTCCCTTTTCTACAAAATAAAAAGAAAATATGGAACCATGGTTTCTTCCGTTTTTTTATTTCTTAAATCACTTTAAATTTTGAGATAAATTTTTCTGTTCCAAGAGAATGAACAAAAGAAATTAAATTAGAAAACTTAGGTAAGATGCAAAATAGTAAAATATGGTCGTATTTACTACCAAAGAGGAATACCAAAAACGTTTATATAAAGTCTCAACCTTGTACTATACAAAGCCTATTAACAAAGGTTGTTCATGTGCTACTAAACCCTCAAATCGATCATCATAAGGCTTTGTGGCACCGAAACTACATTTTTAACATAGTTTTGAAGCATATTTTACTTCAATAGTATAATGTTGACACCTTATACAAACTTCACCTTTTTAAAATATTTTATATTCTCAAATTTTGAAACTGTAAATGGTTTTAATTACATTTATGACTAATTAGTCTATTTCTAACAGATTTAAAAATTGTAAAAAAACTTATTGTTACCATCTCATTAAATTTCATCATTCGTAGTTCGTTTACGAACGATTTCCAGATCTTTATAAATTATGTTATTCTACAAAATTTAAGTATGAACCGTATTGTGTTTAACTGCTTTATTTTAAAACTTCATATCGATTTTGTTTTCCTTTTCCAATGTTTTTAAACTCTTGTTTGACATAATTTTGTGGGGCGTAAAAATAGTAACTATTTTAAAGGAAAATTTTTATATAGGAGCGAGGCCTAAATAATCAAATTAAGGCGCACCTAAAAAATTCACTAAAATAAGTTGTTTCGATGCTCAAACATCCTCAAATTGATCATCTCGACCTCAAGATGTATAGGGATGAGAAAAAGTGGATTTCAAGTCTTGGACACAATACATCTTATAATACATTGTTGGACGGTCAATTTTCAAGTTTTTCAATTGTTCAAGGATCTGCTCGATCTACACTATTTTTTAAGCTTTAAATTTTATAATTAGCGATGAAAAATAAATTTTCAAGCCATAAAAAAGATTTCAAGGATTGAAACATCTTTCAGCACTATGTGAAGGTGCGCCTTACTTTGATTGTTTAAGACCTCGACCTTATACAAACCACACCCTATTTCAAATACAACTTAACATCATCCTATGACTATTGAAAAGTCTACAAAGAAACCATTTACTTTTGGCACAAGGAGGTCACAATCATTATTGTCCTTTAGATTTCAAATCAAGTGGTTGTGAGTATGTCATTAACTAGACTCAAAGTTCAACAAAAAAATCTTGAATTTTGTGAGACATCTCAAGTAATCTAGTTTGACATCTAATGGTTAGAAATAATTGTAACCGCTTTGTAACAAAGATAAATGATCTCATTGTATTCAAACTATATTATAAATTCAATTTTTCTTTAAAATGTTTTTATCGTATTTCTATGCATGTAAATCCACTCGAAATTTTATATTTTTACCACCTATTTCTAAACACCATTGGATTTCTTTAATTGAATATGACGTTTGTTATGTCCGGTTTTCGAGTTAAATACAAAACAATCACATCCCTTTAACTCATGGTTTTGTCTAATTGGCGATTTTTGGCCTTTGTTTTAGATGTTTGTAAGCAAATTAAGAAAAATAAGCTTTCATAAAAAAAAAAAAAAGTGAATTGTGCACTTTTAAGTACGCGTTTTTTAGATTTTAGATTAGGGATTGTCTACAAAGAGACTATATAACTTTTACACGTGGGGTTCACAATCATTTTCATTCATTAGATGTCAAATTGGATAGCTTGTGGTGAGTCACAAAGTCCAATAATTTTATTTTTTTTTGAAACTGTGTCTATTCAATGACACTCTTACAATCACCAATTTTGAAATTTAAGGGACAAGAATGATTGTAACATCCAAGAACAAAAGATAAATGGTCTCTTTTTATACAATTCCTTTTGATTATAAGGGGGTATATACTTTCTCTAATCCATATATGAGGATTTCGCTATGGTTATGGGGGAATGGACTAATATTCATATTGTAGTTTCTTATCCCTTTTGTAATGTAACTTTCATATGAATTAATTAGAAGAGAGGAAAAGTAAATAATACGACTATTTTTTTTTTATACAAGGAGGTCACAAATATTTTCACTTGTTATATGTGAAATCTAGTGATTGGAAGTGTCATTGATCATACTCAAAGGTACAAAGAAAATTTTTAATTTTGTGACATATTTCAAACTGTCAGATTTCACATAAAAACACTATGAGTGTTTGGGGCCTCCTCGTTTCATAAGTAAATGGTTTTGTATTGTGCAAGTACTCAAGTATATGGAGGAAAGAGTAATGGTGAAAAACCCTCTAATCGATCATCTTGACCTCAAAGGCATATAGATACAAAAAAGAAGAAGAGTATTTCAAGTGTCCTTGTCAAAAAAAAATAATAATTAAGTATTAAAAATAATGCATTTTGTAATATATTATCTAGACTATCCATGTTCATTTTCAAATGTTTAGCTAGTTCCACGGTGTGAAAAAACTGTATTTCTCTATAATTGGGCCTTGAGCTCCCATGAAGATGTATTATTGGACTTGACAAAAATGTAAACAAGAGGCTCAATTTATAGGATTACAAAGTAATGAACAACCTTCCTACTACGGGTATATATAAAAAAAAGAAAGTATTATTCTTAAAGATAAATGTAAGTTTTTATATTTCCACACTCCCCCTCAAACTCAAAATGAGTTAAGAGAGAACATCTTGAATTTGGACATCTGAAGACCGCATGCTTTAGTAACAAAGCAACAGGAGAAGCTTGATGGGCCCTCTCTCCCTAATCCCATTCATGGCAGGGCTTTGCAGCCCTTCATCTCTCTCATTGAAGCCCTAATCCATATCCTTCTGTCATCTCATCTCTCTGATATGTCTCTCTCATCTTTCTCTCTCAAGATCTCAGGTATTTTTCACAGCAGATCTGAGATTTAATATCTCTATTTTCTCTCTTTCTGTCTCTCAAATCTCTCTCTTTCTTGCTCTCCCAATGTCTCTATACTGTCCTCTCTCTCTCTGAAGCCCTAATCTTCTCTCTCTATATCTGCAAATCTCTTTTAAACCCAAAAATCCCTTTCTGTTCAAATTCCGATGAAACCAGAGGCCATGGGGGCCAATTTGGAGGATATGAAAAGAACACATTTTCAAGTAATAGAGGAGATCACATTCTCCGCTTGCGAATCAAAGAACCCAATTTGGCCATAACAAATCCAGCGAGAAAAGGAGAGCAGCAAAGGAGATGGCATGACGATTCTATTACTTCTCTTCTCTTTTCCTGACACCAAAGGAAAACCGTCCAGCCTATTCTTGTGCTGTCATGGTCTTCCAAACACTCCCGAAACTCTGGGTTGTTTTGTCTTTCTAAAATTTCATAAACTTCCTGAAGGTAAAATGTAAGTTTTTTCAATCTCTAATATGATTACACATAAAAGAAAAAAAATATTATTTGAGTACACATACAAGAAAAAAAATATTATTTCTCTATTTTTAAAAATAAGTGTAAGTTTCTATATTTCCACACACTATAATTAGTAATTTTATAGATTTCAATTTCAGGCTTGTGTAAGTGTTTCTAATACCAAGAGTGCACCATCCAATGGGGTTTGAAAGTGTGCCTTTCTTTGATGGTTAAAGGTGGCGGCCTTGTATAACCGCACCCAGTGTACAAGAGTAGGTACCACTTCAACACCAAATCAAATCAAGCCCTTTTGGTTTGTTTTGGCTTGCACATCTCAAGCACAAAATTTTAATCCCTTATAAGGGTCTTTATTTTTTATTTTTTATTTTTGCCAACCCAGCCCAAGGCTTGTATTATTACCTAAGGGAGCCATATTGGGGGTCAGATTAACACATTAATTGTGCATGAGAGAGAAAGAAAGAGCAGAAGCCAAATTGACTAGACCCTGCGTTGGAGATATACTCATGTTTAGAAAGATTTGTACTTTTTTTTTTTGCATGGGTGAGATTTGTATAAGGTGTCAACCTTAAATAATTACGGTAAGGTGTATCTCAAAATTTTTGGACACTTGAAAATTCTGAAAATGGACGGTCTAGATAATGTGTTACAAGATGCAATATTTTTAGGACTTGATTTTTTATTTTTTTTTATAGTTATATATATCGAAGTCAAGATGGATCAATTGGAGAGTTTTTGAGGTGTACCTTACTTCTACGGTGTAAGGTTAACACTTTATATAAACTTTTTCCTTTTTATATTTTCTTTTGCAAATAGAATCAATAGAACGATTAGCTGAAAATAGTGTTTTAAAAGTCAGATATGTGGGTCAGATAGTTTATGTGATGGATTATTGGATCAGTGATCCAGATTGGGTGTGGATCCATCAGAATCGATGATCCACAAAATTATTAAAAAATAAATAAAACATAATAAAAATATTTAGAAGGGAGCATGGGACCTAAAAAATATTAGGTAAACATATATATCAAGGAATTTTAGGGGGGAACCAGATCGAGACCCGTACCATCCCAAAAACTAATTCCGTCCTGACGAATTCCCTTTTCAAATCAACAATCTAATCAGAAACCCGGTTGAAAGTGAGAGTAATGTGCACGTGTGCAACACGTTCAAGTACATGCGCAAGGGGCATATAAGCACAATATAGGCATGTCACAAAAAATACAAATAGTCAAACCATAATTACAGCAAGCACAGGCTTTTAGTTTGTTTGCACCCTCACTTAGAAAGATGAAAAAATCAGGAAAAGGATACAAAGAGGGATGGAGAGATTGGGAAGTTGTAGGAATAGAGAGGTGAGCCAAGTTGCCCCTATTGAATTTCGGGCTTATTTTGTGTGTGTTTGAGAGAGAGAGAGAGAGAGAGAGTGCGTCTTGGAGCACCTTAAGTGCCCCATAAGTGCTGGTCCAAGGACCTCACATTCCTTAAAATGCCCTGAGAAGAGAAACCAGAAGTCACTGTAGGGGACCCCATGAAATCAACATCAAATTGTTCAAAAGGAGAGACCCCACCATAACCACAGCCATACCCATACCCAAAGCTCTGGGCATTCACCACACTCAAATCTGACTCACTGTTACTGCTGTTGTTTACTCTGTTACTATTAGTATCATTGCAACCATCAAAATCCGCGGCCTCCAAAAACATTGACAAAGGCCGCTGGCCCTCCAAATCAGCAGCCTCTGTGTTGCTAGCCCACAAGCTATTCCCACTCCATTCTTTCTCAGTAGAGAGACAAGGAAGTGGGGTTTCGGAGAGAGAGAAAGCTCGCATGTGGGTAGAGAACAAAATCGGGGGAGTCGGAGGTAATATCGCGAAACCGGAGCTGGCTCTGCTCTCCTGGTTTAACAACTGAGGCAATTCTCTCATCTCTCTACTCTCTATCCATGTATTATTTGCACAAGACTGCTTCTCTCTCATCAATGCAGTGCTGTTGGCACTGGGTAGAGAGATGTTATTGTCGGTGTTAGGGTCTAATCCCTGAGAGACAAGCTTCTTCTTGATGCATGAGTTCCAATAGTTCTTCACTTCATTGTCTGTTCTCCCAGGCAAGTGCTTTGCTATTTGAGCCCACCTGCACAGCAACACAGTAAGATTGCATTTCTCTCTCTCTCTCGCTCTCTCTCTCTCTCTCTCTCTCTCTCTACATTGTATATAGAAGAAGATATTAATGGCTTTTAGGGTTTTCATACCTATTTCCAACAAGATTATGGACATCGATGATGATGCGCTCTTCTTGAGGAGAGAAGGATCCCCTTTTAAGGTCGGGGCGAAGATAGTTAATCCATCTCAGTCTGCAACTCTTACCGCACCTTTGCAGACCTGCAATGCACTTCTCACTGTGAGAACAATCCTGTTTCTCGCTCTAAGAAGAAAATGGAATGCCAATTCCTGTTAGAGAAAAGCACAAAGAGGAGCGAGAAAGAAGAAGAAGAAGACGGGGACCGGCTTCTTTCGGAACAGAGCTCCAGCAACGATGGCCATAGGTGGTGACATATCTGATGAGCTTCTCATCCTCCTCAGGAGACCATAACCCTCTCCTCACCTTCTGTTTGTTGCAGCAGTGATGACCCATTTCTAAAACACCCTCCTCTCTACCTCATTACGCTTAGCTTTTGGAGATCAGCACCTATCACCCTCAATCACCATTATTATACATCTCTTTCTCTCTCTCTCTCTCTCTCTCTCTCTGTAGCATGCCTTGTTATGTATGCTCACTTATGTTAATATATTAGTCCCTCAAATGACACAAGCACTGAGTCTTCATAAAGCAGCATCCTTGAAGCCAAGGATGAGAGAGAGAGTGAGAGTAAATAAATAAACAAACACCAATTTATGCATGATACTCTATTGGATTATTGAGAAAATCATTTAATATGAATGAAATGGGGGTCCCTTGGTTTACTTGTGATTTTGTGCTCTGACCATTACATTTCGGGCCATTCCCATTGATTAAGATTTCCTCAATCAAGCCTGTAGCTTTCAGAGGAATACACAGGCTAGTGAGAAGAGAGGGAGAGAAAAGAGAAGGAGGGGTCTTTCATGGCCGGATTTTCAAATGTAGAAAGTCATCATGGGTTGTTGTTTACAAGGTGAAATTATGAAAGAACAATGGTCTCATGCGTGGCTGGACCGCATTTCTACAACATGCGGTCCAAAGGTTTAGAGCATCCATCTTAAAGATGGATGCAAATAGGTGGTCTTTTTAAAAACAATTGTAACTAAGTTCAAGATGTTTTCGTAATATAATTATTATTTTTAATTTTTAAATTTTATTTATTTTTTTATATTCATGGTCACGGCATATTTTTTAAAAATTAGAGTCAAATTATATTTAAAAAATATATTTATTTCGGTACCCGTATTTCTACATGTACAGGCTTCGCCACATGCGGACCGTGTCCATTATGAAACTGGGAAAAGGTTTCTAAGAGAAATGAATAAGAAGAAAATGCATTGTAGAGTCTAGAGAGAGAGTAAGGTGCCAACATGCCGGGCCTGGTCTTGCCCTGTCGGGCAGGAATAAAATAAACCCGGGCCTGCAACAGGCCAGCCTTGCCCTGCCCTGGCCCTTGTAGGGCCAGGCTAAATATAAATAAAAAGAGGACTGGGCCGGGCCAATTACGGCCGGCACTAACTGTAGCCCGGTCCTCGGGCCACTGTAGCACAGTCCCTGCTGATTTAGAGCCGGGCCACCCGAGCCCAGCCGGCCGACAGAGAGAGAGAGAGAGGTGGGCCCGGTCGTAATGATGAACAGAGCATTTGAGGAAAATCCTCATCATAAGAAGGGAGACAAAGCAGTATGATTGCTGTGCTCCTTCCCATCACTCAGGCGGGGCGGGGCGGGGCGGGGCGGGCCCCACGTACTTCTTTGGGTTGCTGCATTTCCCCATCTTGCTTCTTCGTAAAGCTGTTGGTTATGATTGGAGCTCCTAAAGAGAGAGAAAAGCACGTGGAAAAGAAGACGGCCAAAGAAATAGTCATTTGCCCTTTTAAAAAGAAGTGCTTCGAGCATAATGCATATTTTACCAGCATGGACAAAAGGTTATTCCTAATGTTAAAAATAAAATAAAAATATATATTCTATTTTGAGTAATTCATGTATGGATAAAAAATCGAAAAAAAAGAAATGGACCAATTTTGAGCAAAGTTTACATGAAGGTCGGTCAAAATGTTTTTTCTTTTTTTTTTAAATTACCCTTCGACTATTCTCGAACTACTTTGTATATTTTTTTGTTTTTTCATTAGGATGGCTCACCTGGCTCAGTCCAGAGAGCGGTTCTAGATCCCTATCCTTGGACTGCTCTTTGTTTTTTTTTTGTGTAAGAAAAGAGCAGTTCAAGGATGGGGACCTCCGATCGTTTTAGATCTGATTCAAGGCTCAGCTCAATTTTAAAGCTGTCTGAGGTACCCATCCCCAGACCTCTCTATAACTTAGCCCTACTAACGAAAAAACTATAAAAAAAAATAAAATAAGGCAGTATGAGGATGGCATCCTCAAACCTAAGGGCAATTTCAATAAAAATAAAAGTGCACAATTTTAGTAAAAATAAAAAAACACATGTTGACCTACCTATGCAATTTTGGCCAAAAATTGGCCCATTTCGTGTTTTCCTACCTTTTTTTGCGTACGTGTAATTTTTTGTCCAAAGTTGGACATTTTGTGTTTTCCTGTTTTTTTTGAGTCCATGCATAATTATTTTCTTTCGATACTTTAGATTGAAAAAATCCTCCAGAGTAGGTTTTCACCGAGGGAGAAGAAGTAAACCATGCTCTTCAAGGAGCATAGCATACATGATCCTCAGAAAGAAAATAAAGTCAGAGAGAGGATATGGTAGCCTCTTCCTTTTTTTCTCAACTTGAGAGGATATTCTAGTTTTTTGTACCGAACCCACTGACCCAGTCATCATAACGCTAGATTTAGGTCTCATGAGAGAGGACGAGATCTGATGAATGAAAGATTTTTCTTTTACAATGGATGAATGCGAGATATAGATCAGATTTGAGCGGTGATTTCAAAATCGAATCGGTATAGTTAATCGGGTATAGGTTTGGACGCGGTTTAATCGGTCTAAACGGTAAACCGGCCGATTCAATCGTTTTAACTGGGCAAATCCTAGACCGTCAAAAAAGTGTTTAAAAAAAATACAAAAAAAAATCTACTAAAATATGGAAAGTATATAAAGAACGACTAAAGAAAAACACATTCAAATGTAGTTAAAAATTGATGGAAAAAATTGATTTTAACCCATTTTATATTTTCTAAAGGCTATTTTTAAAATTTTCTAAAAAAGATGGGAAAATATAAAAGTGAGTATTAATGACCAAAATAATTTTTAACATTTACCATAATGTAAAGGTAAAAGTTAAAAATGCATTACAAATCAAATTTCTTATTTTTAAGAATTTATATACATTTTTTTTAATTCTTTTTTTTAATATACCGATTGATCACCCTAACCTTCCAAAACCAAAAGATCTAACCGGGCGGTTAGCGGTTAGATCCGGCATTTTAACAATGGATTTGAGACATGACATGTTCTCAATGGACTTTGATGTTCTAAAATCGGTAAGCGTAGTAGGACTAGGCATCAATGGGTGGACGAGCCAGGTCCAAAGGTCCCTGAACTCGCCCAGTTTCTACTAGTTTTTTTATTTTGCATAAGGTTGTAACCCTAAACAAGTGCATCTTCAAACTTTGTCTTGAGATGCAATTTTAGCTTCAAAATTTTTTAAGAAGGTGTAAGAATCTATTTTTATCTTATTGTAAAATTCTAAACTCCAAAAATAGTTCAAATCAAGCAGATCTATAAACATATGAAAATCTTGAAAATGGACGGTCTTCTGGATATATGTTGCACGATGTATTATTTTTAAGACTAGAAATCCATTTTTTTTCTTCATATCTATCCATCTCGATGTCGAGATGATCAATTAAATCTTTTTCCAACATCAATACCTTTTGTGAAGGATTTTAGATGTGCACCTTAATTCTACATTTTAAGGTGTCAAACCTTATATAAACTTTTTCCTTACTCTTTTTATGCAAAAATTCTACTGAGAATTGGCTACCCAGATTGGAAGTTTGGAATTGGCCGAGCTAGCTCTTATCAGCATGGTTCGGCCCGGCGGTTCAGTTGGTTTAAAGCTTTTTAAATCACTAGTGGAAATCAAGGTCCTAACAAACGCGATATCAACGAGGTACAAGTGTCAGATTGTAGAAAACGCAGGAGCAGATCACAATCGTATGAAAGGAAGAAAATAATGCGTTTTCTTTATGTTTCAGTAAATGGACAAAAGAACTATACTATACTTTTCCTACTTTTAAATACCAATAAATTACAGCTCATTAACAGGAGAATAATTGAATAAGGAATAATTTATAAATTTAAGAGTTCTTGAGGAGGAATATAGAGCTATCCAGCAAAGGTCATCTTTCTAGCAACCCATCAATAGGGTTTCTTTGACTATAGAGGGCTGCTACTTTCTAGTTATTTACCATTTTTCTAAATTTATTAACCAATTGCTTAGGTTAGTATTCTAAGAACTGAAGGTTCCTCGAGGGTATTCTAGTGTATGTGTAACATCAAAGACTCTCTCTCTCTCTCTTAAGTGTGACATGTAAGACTCTCTCTCTCTCTTTCACATATGCAATATTTTTGCAAGTTTACATGCACATTAGGGCTGGCAACGTGATGGGTTTGGGCCGGGCCTGCTTGGCCGTAGCCCTAGTCCTAGTCCAACCCTAATCCCTATGGGGCCAGCCCAAGCCCAGCCTGGCTCTAACCAGGCCAAAGAGACTGAGGCCAAGGGCTGGTTCTAAGCTCAGAAGGCCGGGCTTGGCTACGTAAAATAAGAAGGACAAAAAGGAAAAACAAAGAAAGATAGGGCAGGGCTAGACCACGCACTCGGGCGGTGGTGTCCGAGCCTTGGCCCAACCTGCGGGCCACATTATGTGGCCTAGGGCCCAGTTTTTTAGGGTCGGGATGACCAGCCAGGTGGGCCTGGCCACCCAGCCCCTTGCCACCCCTAATGCACATCTAGAGTGTACAAATGATACTTTGATAATTGATGTTTTGCTATCTTTGCACAAATAGGGATATTTTAGGTTTCTCTCTTTATTGCTGAATCTTACCGACAAGTTGATGATTGGACTCCACATTATTACATGGGAAACTTGTAGAAGGTTATGCCCTCCATTCAAGCTAACAACGTGGAGAAAGTTTGGTCCCAAGCTTCCTTTGGCTTTCCCTAGTTGATCACTTCTTGAAGGAGCATCACAATATTCTACTCTTTTTTTTTGTGAACAGTTAACAGTATGCTTCGTTAATATTGCTAATATAAAGAGATAAACTTCAAAGTACAATTACAAAAGAGGAAAAATAAAGAAAGAATTTGTACTTCAAGAAAGATCAACCAACACTCTCGAAGCACAAACAATCACTAAACCTCGGAAACCTTACGCTACCGACAAGCTTAAATACCCCACTAACCACTTGAAGCAAGCAATGACCCTTCCATATAATCCTTAAGCCCAAACCCCATCAATTCAATTCCACTCCAAAGCACCATCCCTTCAACAAGGAATACCCAATATTGTACTCTAGCCGCCCCCAACCACTTTTTTATCTTTTCATTGATGGATTTCCTCCTTTAGCAAAATCCAACATAATAGTTAAAAACTTGCAATATTTTTTTCTTTGTTTTCTTGAGCCTTAGTCATGAAACAGCTATTGAGACCCAGCCATCTCTTACATATGAAGTGTGTGCTTCAAGACTCAATACTCTTACGCTTGGTTTATTGCAAAGCTGACATATTAACCCATATCTCC